GGACTTCCAGGAAACATTCCCCTTCCGTGTTACCTCTGACCACCCCCCCATGCTGCCCCCGGGGGCCATCTGATCTCAGGTTACGGGCCACTCCTTCCTCCCCTGCCTTCTGGGACATGCTTTCTCCCAGCTTTCTCACTGCCAGCTGTCTCTCTGCTGGATTGTTTTCCCAGAGCCCCGGGTTCTGCCACATCCTCGGCTGTGACTGCGGCTGATCTAAGTGCATAATTGAGCTGTCGCTCTCTCCTGCCCACTGGGCCAGAGGGGAGCGCCGCAGGCTGGCTCCTGCTCTGGTCTCTCCGCAACCTTTCACCTCCTACCCTGTGCCCTGGACGTGACACCTGCTGTTGCACCTCTCCAGGTCCAGCCGGCTCCCTCCTCTTTATCCTTCATGACGCAGCCCAGGCATCACCTACCCCAAGAGGCTTTCTCCGGCCTCCCAAGTGGTGAGGTACCCGTCTGTGCTCTCCCTGATTCTCAGCACATCCCGCACAAAGCACCCGTCATCACAGTGAGCGGGCACTGTCACTGAGGCTGTCCCTGAGGGAGGACCGGGTCTGACGGCTCAGCCCAGAGTGGGTCCAGGAAACCAGGCAGAGGGAGACGGGGCTGTGAACCGAGCTTGGAGGAGGGGTGTCTCACCCATTCTTCTTGGGCAAGTAGGCCTCCATATCGAAGAAAAGGCCCTGTCGCTCCTTGATCTGATTTTCCAGCTCCTGCGCGGCTTCCTCGGCCTCTGACGGGATGGAGGGTTTGCATCTGCAGGTGGGGCCGCAGAAGCCAGAGTCAGAACACCCGACACCTGGCGGGCAGGAGAGCAGACGCAGCCCAGAGAGGGGAGAAGCGGTGCCCGGAGGCACCTGGGAGTCAGCACCAGCTCCCTACCCCACCAGGTTCAACACGCACCCCCGGTCCACGGCCAGGGGTGTGAGGAGGGAGGGCATGGGGGGGCCTGTGGGGGGGTGGGTCCTAACTTCTTCAGGACCAGGGCCAGCTCCTGGAGCCGTTTCTTCTGCCGAGTGATGGAGCTAGTACAGGTGTTCTGCAGCTTGGTCAGCTCCTCCAACTTCAGGCGGTACAGCCGGTGGGTCTCCTGGGGACCAGGGAGGGGGAAGGCTCAGGCTGGCTAGGGGACCCCTGAGCCAGAGCCTGCTGGGAAGGGTGTGGGGCACAGACTCGCCCAGGGCTCCCCGGGAGCGTCTCAGCAGGAGAGGCGGCAGCCAGCTGAGCCAGCTGAGCCAGCCTCAGGAACGCCCCAAGGGTCTTCTCTCTCCAAGGCAGGCAAGGAGACAGGGCTCTTCCAGCAAGCCCAGGAGCCCCCCAGCACGTTGGCCCCAGAAACAGATGCATTCTCAGAAGCTTTTCTTAGTCTCAGCCTATCTACTAGCTGTTCCCACTCCTCTCTGCCCATCCTGAGTCTGCATTCCAAGCCCACAGGTCCACAGTCTGGACCAAGCAGGCGGCCTAAAGCCATCCCTGGCCTTCTCAGAGCCTCCGGTCCAGACAGCCTGCAAGGGCGAGGGGAGCTGAGGTTGTCCAATATGACTGCTGCTCTGGCACTCCCAGCATCTTCCTCCCGGGTTAAAGGTCACCAGGCTTCAGCCCTTGGACCTCTTGCTGTAAGACCACTCCTCTACCCTTCCCCCCAGCACCTTTGGCCCAGGGCTTCCCAGAGCACTTTGCCCCCTGGGGTGAGTCTCGAGAAGGAGTAGCCTGGAGATGGGGGGGCAAGAGGCAGTGTGAGAAAGGTCAGGCAGGGGCTGAGGCCAGGACGGTGGTGCCCAGGCTCGGGAGCCTGGGTCTGCTCTGCTCAGGGCCCTGGGGAGAAGCACGAATGATAGCGGCTTGGCCAGGACAGGCCAGGGGGCAGTCAGGCTTAATGTGGACAGGAAAGGGCTGAAGCCAGTCCAAGAGAGGCAAAGGCCTGATCAAGTGCCCAGCTGGCCTGGGCTCTACCCTGGCTGGGGTTTGTTTCTCATGCTCAAGGAGGGGCCACCTCGGTCTACCCCCAGCCACACACTCTCCTGTCCGCCTGTCCACGGAAAAGCACAGCGGCCCATAGCAGCCAGATCCAGACAATACCGCCACCCCCCTCACCCTCGGCTTCCACTGGTCTCAGAGAGACTCCCACCCCTGTCAGGCCCATGAGGTCTCTTGGCAGGGCCCCGCCCACCCACTTTCCCCTCACTCTGCAGCAGCCACGTGGTCCTGTGTGGTTGGAAGCTGTCCTGCGCCCTGGACCGGCCTCGCCCCCATCCAGGGACTTCACCTAAATCCCACTTACCCGGACCAAGGCCTGGCGGCCTCCCGTCCTGCTCCCCAGCCACACTCAGCCCAGACCGCGCGGCCCGAGGGAGGGGAATGCCGGCCCGGCCAGCGCCCACGGCGCTTTTGCTCAGTGATTGACCCAAGACTGGCCCTGGTTAGCTCTGACTCTCCTGGGAGGGGACCAGGTCGGAGTCGGGGCCTCTTTCCGAGGTCTTCACGAGAGACCGGAGGTCTGCCCGGGTCAGTAGGGTCACTCCAGAGTCCCGGCGGCTGCGCAGGCGAAAGATACCGCCGGACATTGATTTGAGGCCGAAAGGAGGGTCCAACCGGGGACACCGGGACCCAGGACCTCGCTGCCGTCAGGAGCAACACCAGGGTCCCCCACCCCTGACCCGGAGCTTTCCTCAGCCTGACCCGGGGCTACCCGACCCTTGACCCCGAGCCAGACAGACATGGCTCGGAACCAATGGGAGCCCGCCTTGGCGCTCACCTGGATGCCGTGGAAGTCCTGCTGCAGCTCCTCCCAGTCCCGTAGGCAGTCGCCCAGCGGGCCCGGAGGCGGGGGATGCATTGCGGCCGGGCCGCGGGCCGGAGTAGCCGAGAGTCGAGGACAGAACCGCAACCCCGGCCGGCCCGAGGCACCTCCGCCTCCGCCGCCTCCGCCCCCGTCCGCTTCCGGGCTCGCGCCGCCGCGATCACCAATGGGGAAAAGCCTGGGGCCGCAAGCCCGCTGGCCCCGCCCCCAGCCAGAGCCAATCCGGGGCCGGGACGGGGCTGGGGCGGGGCCACATGCTCCGCGAGCCGCTGGCCTGGCCGCTCCAGCTTGGAGGGCGGCGGCAGCCCCCCGCCGGGGCTCTACCCGGGATGCCAGTTGCGTGGTGCTGCCAGCAGTGTCCCTGCCGGTCACGCCGGGAGTAAACCAAGGCCCAGGGAGGTGGCATTCTGCCTCAAACATCTGCCCCCTGGGGAAGCTGCTCTATGGCAGGGAGGCAATTCCGAGCCTCTTCTCTTGCTTAGATTTTTACGAGGGCCTCTTTATGTCTCCCTGTCTCCAAGTTCACCGGTACTGCCCCTTCACACAGACACCAGGCTACCCTGATTAAAACACAAAGCCAATCCCTACCGTGTCCCTGCTGAAAACTTGCCGGTGGCTCTGACCTGCTTACCAGGAGATGCCTAAGCCACAGATCTGCAGCCATCCCAGGCTCCGCTCCAGTTCTAGTGCTCACTAAAGCCTATACTGCCTGAAAAGCCCTTACCCCTGAGCAAAGAGCCACTGCTTGAGGGCGTAGGCTTCTGTTGGGGTGCGGGGAGGAGGGGGTGCGGGGGCGCTCCTCCAACCCTCTGTAGAGTCCTAGCAGGCGACATGGCGTTCACCTGTATGCCTCGGCCCTGTACAGGTGGTGGAAATGTTTGCTGAATGAATGTGGACAGACATGTTAAATGCTTCATCAGTCCCCTTGTCCCTTGACTCCAGGCTTTTTCGGTGGGTGCTGCCCTCACTTGGAATCTCATTTCTGAGGAAAACTCCCTTTAAGACCTGAGGAATTTCTAGAAACCCTGGCATGGGGTTGGAATGGAAACAGTGAGAGACTTTATTTTGGGGGGCTTCAAAATCACTGCAGATGGTGACTGCAGCTATGAAATTAAAAGATGCTTGCTCCTTGGAAGAAAAGCTATGACAAACCTAGACAGCATATTAAAAAGTAGAGACATTACTTTACCGACAAAGGTCTGTCTAGTCAAAGCTATGGCTTTTCCAGTAGTCATGTATGGATGTGAGAATTGGACTATAAAGAAAGCTGAGCACCGAAAAATTGGTGGTTTTGAACTGTGGTGTTGGAAGACTCTTGAGAGTCCCCTGGACTACAGGGAAATCCAACCAGTCAATCCTAAAGGAAATCAGTCCTGAATATTCATTGGAAGAACTGATGCTAAAGCTGAAATTCCAATATTTTGGTCACCTGATGTGAAGAACGGATTCATTTGAAAAGACCCTGATGCTGGGAAAGATTGAAGGCAGGAGNACTCATTTGAAAAGACCCTGATGCTGGGAAAGATTGAAGGCAGGAGGAGAAGGGAACAACAGAGGATGAGATGGTTGGATGGCATCACCGACTCAATGGACATGAGTTTGGGCAAGCTCCGGGAGTTGGTGATGGACAGAGAAACCTGGTGTGCTGCAGTCCATGGGGTCGCAAAGAGTTGGACATGACTGAGTGACTGAACTGAACTGAACTGGCGTGGGGGATGGGAGAGTGGGAATCTCTTCGTGGTGAACACAGCCAGGCAAAAATGAGTGGGGAGCAACAAAAGGAAAGATCCAGCCCACAAGCAATGGACCAGTGGGAGCACTGCGGAGAGATGGAGATGAGGCAAGGAGATGCCCTTGTGCCATGAGTCTCTCAAAGCTGTGAAGGCTGGCACCTGAGCCAAGGCTGGGCTTGGCATCTGTTGGGCTGGGGATCTCCAGTGGGTGGGCATTTTGACACCCCCTGTGGAGCAACGCAAGGCTGGGGGAAGACTTGGAGCTCCCCCAGGGGCAGCCTCCCAAAGGACCACGTTATGGGAGACAGGAGGGGCAGCTGCTCTGGCAGCCAGATACTCCTCCCAAGGAAACCTTGGGAGTGCAGTGGGGGTAATCTGGACGCCCAAGGGATGGGTTCTTGCTGAGTCTGAACACCTTCTATGTGGCACCAATGAGGAACCCGGGAAGAACCACTGCAGGAGGCTGACACAAAGCTCCAGGCAACAAAGGCCTTCTCATTCCTCGGTTACACACCCTGGCTGACTACCCACAAAAAGCCCCCAAGTCAGGTTCTTCTGGCCCCATAGCTGGACCACAGAATCAGTAGGGTGGATTCTGGATGTCCGTGACGATGTCTCCGAGGACAACCTTCTCCCACTCTGACAGTTGAGCCACCAAAGCCCGATTTGGGCGCATGTTGTTTTTACACTTCTTGAGGTAGGCCCAGGACCTCTGTGAACCAAGGAGAGAAAAGTAGACTTCAGGGTTGGACCTGGGCCCCTTTCACCTTGAAGAGAGCCAGCTCAGGAGGAACAAGAGACACTTGCCCAGGGGCCAGCAGCATAGCTTAAGGGCAGGACAGAGAAACAGCAGCAGCCGGGGGTTAGACTAGGGCGTAGGGGTCAAGGGGCTGGCTCTGCCTTGGGCAAGCCCATCTGCACCTCTGCTACTGAATGCAGAGACAGAAGTCACTCTTCTGTCAGATGGCTCCACGAAGGCTGAGAAAACATGTGAAGCCTACTGTGGACGAGGAAGCACCATGCCCATGCCTGCCACCCAGTCCTGCCTCAAAAAGATTTGCACTGGATTTCCCTGGTGGTCCCGTGGTTAAGAATCCTCCCGTCAAGGCAGGGGACACGGGTTTGACCTCTGGTCACAGAAGATTCCACATGCCTCAAAGCACCAAAGCCGGTGCACCATAGCTCCTGAAGCCTGCGTGCCCTAGAGCCCCTCTGCAGCAACACAAGAAGCCCCTGCAGTGAGAAGCCCACCCATGCACCACAACCAAGAGTAAGCCCCACTCGCCGCACGTAGAGAAAGCCCTCAGGTAGCAACAAAGATCCAGCACAGCCCGAAAGGATATAAATAAATAAAAACAAAGGTTTGCATCGGAAGTGGGTAAATTAATGGAAAGAAGAAGAGAGCTTGGGCAAATTCTCTGAAGAAGGAAAACTGAAGCTGCCTTCATTCAAGTGCCCATCCCAAAATACAGGAAAGGTTATCTCATGAAGGAAGGTCATCAGCTGGTCTCCATCTGATGGAGGAAAAAGGCAAAAGGCAAAATCGGTGCCTCAGCAGACTGTAGAACAGAAGGAAACCATCTCAACATAACAAAGGTCACATATCAATCAGGTCACATCATACTCAGTGGTCAAAGACTGCTTTTTCCTCTGAGACTATAGGGAACAAGACAAGGGTGCCCACTTCCACCACTTCTATTCAACATTGTACTGGAAGTCCTAGCTGGGGAAATTAGGGAAAAAGAAAAGAAAAGGCATCCAAATTGGAAAATACAAAGTTCTGCAGCTCTTTTTGCAGCTGATATGAACTTAAGGATTTCATATGTAAAAAACCTTAAAGAGTAAATACAAAAAAAAAAAAAAACCCCACAACTGTTAGAATGTAACAAAGTTGCAGGATACAAAATCAGTTGTGTATCTAACTAACAATGAACAATCTGAAAAGGAAGTTAGGAAAATTTCATTTATGCTAGCATCAAAAGAATAAAATTCTTAGCAACAGGGACCAAAATGAGCAGGGCGTGGAAGAAAGGAAGAAGCTTCCAGAAGGCTGGGTAGTGGGGAGGCAGTGAGTGAGTGGGCATCAAAGCAGAGTAGAAGGCTTTGTGGCAGAAGTTACTAGGGGGAAATGCTGAGAAAATATGAGGAAGGTGGGAGAAAGCAGAATAAGGTGTTCTTATCACAAGTAGAGAGATGAGTGCTGATTTGATATGAAGTGTAGACGTGGGGAAGTGGAATCCCTAATCTTCTCCCACACGGGCCAAGAATTAACCTTTTAGAAGCCAGATGGCGCAGGGCAAAGTTGCACAAATAGTAACCATGTGTTAACATATCTGGAGAACATGGTAATAAAAAGCATGTTCACAAGTGTGCATTTGCCTCTCTAAAAAAAAAAAAAACACCTCTCAAAAATGTATCAAGGGACACACCTCAACATAATAAAGACCATACATGACAAGCTGACAGCTAACATCATACTCAACGGTGAAAAGCTGAAAGCTTTTCTCTAAGATCAGAAACAAGACAAGGATGCCTACTCTTACCACGTTTATTCAACATAGTTTTGCAAGTCCTAGACAGAGTAAGAAAAAGACATCCAAACCGGAAAGGAAGAAGTAAGACTGTCCCTCTTGGCATACAACATACTATATATAAAAACCCCAAAGACTTCACAAAGACACTGTTAGAATGAATAAACAAAGCAGTAAAGTTATAGGATACAAAATCAATATACAAAAATCAGCTGTGTTTCTATACACTGATAAAAAAACCATCAGAAAGAGAAATTAAGAAAATAATCCCAATTGTGTCAAAAGGGTAAAATACCTAGAAATAAACTTAACAAGGAGATGAACTTGTACACTGAAAACCATGACAATGATGAAAGAAATTAAAGACACTAGTAAACAGAAAGATATTCCATGCTCATGGATTGGAGGAATATTGTTAGAATGTCCATACCACCCAAAGCAATCTACAAACTGAACACAAACCCTATCAAAATCTCAATGGTATCTTTCAGAGAAATAGAACAAACAATCCTAAAATTTGTGTGGAACAACAAGACTCCAAATAGCCAAAGCAATCTTGAGGAAGAAGAACAAAGCTGGAGGCATCATACTTCCTGGTTTCAAACTATATTGCAAAGCTATAGTAATAAAAACAGTATGATATTGGCATAAAATATAGACACATATATCAGTGGATCAGAAGAGAACCCCCAGAAATAAGCCCATACATATATGGTCAATTTAGGATAAAGAAGCTAATAATATACAATGGTGAAAGAATGGTCTCTTCAATAAGTAGTGCTAGAAAACTGGACAGCCACATGCAAAAGAATGAAACTGTTGGGAATTCCCTTGCAATCCAGTGGTTAGGACTCTTTGCTTCCATTGCTGGGAGCCCAAGTTCAATCCCTGGTCAGGGAATTAAGGTCCTGGAAGCCATGCAGCCAAAGGAAAAAAAAAAAAAAAGAATGAAATGGGACCACTATCTTACACCATACACAAAAGTCAATTCAAAGTGGATTAAAGGCTGGAATAGAAGACCTGAAACCATTAAACTCCTAGAAGAAAACACAGGCAGTAAACTCCTTGACATCAATTTGGTGGTGACTTTTAGGAACTGACATCCAGAGCAAAGGAAACAAAAGCAAAAATAAACCAGTGGAACTACATCAAACTAAAAAGTTTCTGCACAGCAAAGAAAACCATCAACAAATTAAAAAGGCAATCTGGACTTCCCTAGTGGTCCAGTGGTTAAGGCTCCACACTTTCATTGCAGGTAGGCACAGGTTCAATCCCTGGTGGGGGTACTTAGATCCTGCATGCTGTGCAGTGCAGTCAGGAAAAAAAAAAGATTACAAAGAAGCCTGTATATTGTCACTTTGCTTATTTAACTTACATGCAGAGTACATCATGTGAAATGCTGGACTGGATGAAGCGCAAGCTGGAATCAAGATTGCAGGGAGAAATATCAATAACCTCAGATATGCAGATGACACCACCCTTATGGCAGAAAGCAAAGAGGAACTAAAGAGCTTTTTAATGAAAGTGAAAGAGGAGAGTGAAAAACCTGGCTTAAAACTCAACATTCAAACAACTAAGATCATGGCATCTGGTCCCATCACTTCATGGCAAATAGATGGGGAAACAATGGAAACAGTTACAGACTTTATTTTGGGGGGCTCCAAAATCACTGTAGATGGTGACTGCAGCAATGAAATTAAAAGATGCTTGCTCCTTGGAAGAAAAGTTATGACCAACCTAGATGGCATATTAGAAAGTAGAGACATTACTTTACTGACAAAGGTCTATCTAGTCAAAGTTATGGTTTTTCCAGTAGTCATATATGGATGTGAGAATTGGGCCATAAAGAAAGTTGAGCGCCAAAGAATTGATGCTTTTGAACTGTGGTGTTGGAGAAGACTCTTGAGAGTCCCTTGGACTGCAAGGAGATCAAACCAGTCCATCCTAAAGGAATCAGTCCTGAATATTCATTGGAAGGACTGATGCTGAAGCTGAAGTTCTAATACTTTGGCCACCTGATGTGAAGAACTGACTCATTGGAAAAGACACTGATGCTGGGAAAGATTGAAGGCAGGAGGAGAAGGGGATGACAGAGGATGAAATGATTGGACGGCATCACTAACTCAATGGACATGAGTTTGAGCAAGCTCCGGGAGTTGGTAATGGACAGGGAGGCCTGTCGTGCTGCGGTTCATGGGGTCACAAAGAGTTGGACACGACTGAGTGACTGAACTGAGCTGAGCAGAGAAGGAAAAGGCAACCTAAGAAGTGGGATAAAATATTTGCAAATCATATAACTGATAATGGGTTAATACTCAAAATATATAAAGAACTCATACAACTCAACAGCAAAAAAAAAGAAAAAGAAAAACCTAACAAAAAAAGTCCAAATAATATGATTTTTAAAAGGGCTAAGATTCTGAATGGATCTTTTCCCAAAGAAGACATACAGATGGCCAACAGGTACACTGCAGCAGCCAAAACACACCTCCCTTAGAGAACCGTGAACAAACGCTAGTAGAGAGATGGGCAGCAGTGGGGGTCATGCAGATGGTGCTGCTGACCACAGCCTTGCCCAGCCTGGGCCCTGGCCTGCCCCAGGTGCCTAGCCTCAGGCCTCTAGCCCAGATCTTGGCACCCTGTCCTTGGGTGTGGAATGTTAGATAAAGCCCTTGACCCTTCCCTCTCAACGCCTCACCATCAATTAAGGTCCCAAGGCAGTGTTGGGGACCCATTCCTCTGAGGTGCAGTTCTGACTTCACCTCCTGGACCAGGGGAATACGTACCTTCAGGGTCTGCCCGTTCCGATGCATAAGGTAGGCCAGGATGGCCGCACAGCTGCGGCTGATGCCCAAGGTGGAAAAGACCAGGATGACGGAGTTGAGCTCCAGGTGTATGTCTGGGGAGGAAAGGAAAGGTGGAAGGCTGTGCGTGGCTTCTTTCCCTGAGGATCCGGAAGACGACTGGCCCCAGTGGATCCACGAGTAGGTTCAGAACCAGCACACCACGGTCTAGGCGGGTCACGTGATAGCTCTAGGATACTGTTTCGTTGCCTGGCAAATGATGCGTTTAGCATCATACAAAGGCTTTCTCTGAGCTATCTGTGCTTCCTTCCCAGGAAGGTTGGCCACCTGGGTGCTGACAGAGGCTGTGTAGCCTGGATGTGAACCACAACCAGAGAGCACTGGCTGTGGGGCTTGGGCACTCGAAGCCACCATTTCTCCATCTGGGAAATGTGGTAACGGTATACTGCCTGCCTCACGAGGTTCTGCACTGTGCTTAGCCCTGCCCTTTTTCTCCTGAGAGCTGGGAGGCACTGGCAGCAATAGGTACAAGGTGCCATGACCCCCTCTGCTCCCCTGGCACGGGGCCTGGCTGAAGAATGCCCCTTACCAATGAAGTGACAGAGGAGGCGTAAAAAGGGTGTAATGCTTGCTTCCAGGGAATCTTCTATCTGGATGTGCAGAAGCCTGTCGGCGTCACCTACAAAACTAAACAGAAGAAAAGCACGTAATCAGGCAGACTCGCCCAGATCCTGGCTGTGGTGTCCTTCATCCACAGCAACAGGACTGCAAGGGGAGGATGCTGAGCTGGCAGCAAGGAGATGGGGGCAAATAAATGACGCCCTCTCAGAAAAAGAGCACTTGCCTCAGAGGGGTGCTGTGTAGATTAAATCAACTCATCTATGTAAGGCATTTAGCAATCTGCTTGGCACTGCATTCAATAAACGGGATGTTGTTATTATTAACCAAACCTGGTGCTTTCCTGGAACAGAATGCAGACGGTGAGGACGGAAATATGTAATGAGTCTGCTATGTTAAATGGAGGAAGCAAGACTGACAGAGTCAATTGACAAGACTGATGGAGAGTGGTGGGGCTCCTGTTTTAGATAGGGTGGTCAGGGAAGGCTTTCCTGAGGAGGTGATATTGGGAAGAGGTTTAAAGGAGGTGACAGGACAAGCCAGGCGGTTATCTGAAGAAAGAGAGTTCCAGGTAGAAGAGAATCCAAGGGCAAAGGTTCCGAGGGCCAGGATACTTAGTATGCTTGTGAAACATCAGGGGGATCAGAGTGGCGAGAGCTTTATGAACAAGGGAGAAAGAAGAGGGAGATGAGGCATGTGGCCCGTTCAATGAGAAGATGGAGCTTGGCACAATGCCTGGTGTGCAGTGAGTGCTTGGTAAATGTTATTTATGAAGAATACGGCCTGCTGGTCATTCACTGTGGCATGCAGAAAGGTGCAGTAGATTCAAGAATAAAAATATTCTGGTTTAGTTTCTGCATGAGCACTTGCTGTGACAAATACAAGCACAATTCACCAATGCATGCATGATTCATTCATTCTGTCCATCCATCCTTCCCTTCCCCTTCCTCTCTTGCTCCCTCCCCACCTGACCACCCACACACCATCCATTCATCCATCTATCCCCAATCATTCATTCTTTCCTCAGACACTTGCTCAATGCCTATAGTGTACCCGGCCTTGAGCTGGACCCTAGTGAACACAAGATAAATCAAATAGGGCCTCTCCCAGCTTCAAGGAGCTCTCACCCTGATGGGAGAGGTATACACACAAACAAATGGCTAATCCAATTGGCTAGGCTTTAGGATAAAGACCTACATGTGCTCCTGAAGAGGAGGGGCAGGGCAAAATCGAGGGAGCTGGGGAAAGCCTAACAGTGGAGGAAACATCTGGAAGGAGGAGGTTGAAGGATACAGGTTAACGTATAAAAATCAACTGGATTTCCACATAATAGCAACAATCAGAAATTTAAATTTTATTTGTTTATTTATTTGGCTGCAGTGTGTAGCTTGTGAGATAGTTCCCTCACCTGGGACTGAACCCAAGGCCCTAGGAATGAAAGTGCCACAACCGAACCACTGGGCCATCAGGGAAGTCACATGACTGTTGGCAGGATTCAGTTTCTCACAGGCTCTTGGACTGAGGGCCTCAGTTCATCACTAACTGTTGGCTGAAAACCATCAGGCCTTTGCCATGCAGACCTGTCTCCAGAGGTCTGACAGCATGGTGGCTGACTTCCTTCAGCATGAGTGAGCAAGACACGGTAAGACAGAGGCCACGGTCTTTCTGTGACCCAATATCAGAAGTGACAGCCCATCATTTCTGCTTTATTCCATCCATTAATGCGCCCAAATGCTGTGAATGGTAGGTGGTGGGGAATCACCAGAAAGACTGCAAAGACATATTCCATATTTCCCTTTCATTGATTTCTGTTGAGTCAGTCATCAGTCTAATTATTGTTCCTTGGAAAGTCATGTCTTACTTACCTGCTTCTTTTCACTTCTCTCTCTCGTTCTCAGAAGTCTCACTAAGTGCCTTGATGTGATTTTCTTTAGATTTATTGATTTTCATATAGTAATTTTTATTACCAGATGCCTCACTGAATTCTTGTGTTATATAAATTGTCTCTGAGCTGAATTTTATTAGCTTTTGATTAGGAACTAGAGGAAGTGGAGGCCTTGGTGATCATGACTGGACATAGCTGGGAAGACACAGGCTGACAAGCAAGGCTGTAAAGAACTTTCCTGCTCCATGAACAATGGTGAGTGTGTGTGTATGTGTGTGTGTGTGTGTGTGTGTGTCCCTAGCATCAGGGAAAATCTGAGGCATAACAGTTGCTGTATGCAATGTTTGTGTCTTCCCAAAATTCATATGTTGAACCCTAATTCCCAAAGTGATGGTATTTGAAGGTGGGGCTTTGGGGAGATAATTAGCTCATGAGGGAAGAAATAGAAACCCTTATGAGTGAGATTAGTGCCCTTATAAAAGGGACCCCTAGAGAGCTTTGCCCCTTCCGTCAGGGGAGGACACAGCAAGAAGAGTCCATCCGTGAACCAACAGCAAGCCTTCATGAGACATGGAATCTGCCATCTTGGACTTCCCAGCCTCCACACCGTGAGAAAGCCCGTTGTTCATAAGCCACTAGTCTGCAGTATTCTGTTCCAGCAGCCCAGGTGGACTAAGAGAGGGGTCGCTTCTCAGAGAGCCTGAGACAGGAAAAGCAGGGTAAACCACGGTGACTTCGCATCAGAATGTCAAAGCACCAAAAAAGCATTACTTTTGGTGAGATTTAAGTACAGGGTGTGGGGCAAGCGTCGGGTCTCAGTCTGGGGCAGAGGATGCTATGCTCATGCCAGGAAGTCAAGAGCAGGCTAGGAACAGATGAAAACAACACAGATCCCATTCCAGTGTATACTGACTTCTAAAAGCCCTTTCAATTCTATCAGTGCATGCCACTGGAGGTCTTATATAAATAAATAATACTAATATTAAAAAAATCAATGGTATTTCTACTTACAATGGCCCTGTCTCCATGGAGATGTTGACATGTGCATTGATTTTCAAATCCTTCTGAATTTTAGGGTCGCAGGCTTGCTTGAAATTTCCCAGGTAGATCCTGCCTGGCATTATCTCAATAGGGTATGGCTGGAAGGCATCCAGTTCCTGAGGAGGGGATGGAGAAAGCCTGCTGTCATAATAATCCCCAGAGAAGAAGCTGTTTTCGTTTTGTCTCTTGAAATGCGGCTCAGCAAACAAGCTTAGAAAGGCAATCTGGGATAGTGAATGAGACTAAGCAAATGTTCACTGCAGCACAATTTATGTAGCCAGGATGTGGAAGCAACCTAAACGTCCAACATTAGAGGAATGGATAAAGAAGGGGTGGTGCACATATATGATGGAATATTACTCGGCCATAAAAAAGAATGAAGTAACGCTGTTTGCAGTAACAATGGATGGACCTAGAAATTATTATAACTAAGTAAAATAAGTCAGAGAAAGACAAACACTATATGGTATCACTTATATGTGGAATCTTAAAAATATGATACAAACACACACACACACACACACAAATCATATGATACAAATGAACTTACTTACAAGACAAAAACAGACTCACAGCCTTTGAAAACAAACTTATGGTTATCAAAAGAGAAAGATGTAGGGGGAAGGATAAATTAGGAGTTTGCGATTAACATACACACACTACAATATATAAAATAGATAATCAACAAGGACCTACTGAATAGCACAGGGAACTCTATTCAGTATTCTATAATAACCTATACAGGAAAAGAATCTCAAAAAGAGTGGATATATGTATACAAATAACTGAGCCACTTTGCTGTACCCCTTTAACTAACACCACATCTACATTGTAAAGTGACTATATCCAAATATAAAATAAAATTTAATTTAAAAAATTATGTCAAAAAAATTAAAACCAAAACTACCATTTGATCCAGCAATCCTACTTTTGGCACAAATCTGAAGGAAATGAAATGACCATCTTGAAGATATATCTGCACCCCACATGATCATTTGAGCATTATTCACAAAAGATACAGAAATGACCTAGAAGTCCATCAATGGATGAATGGATAAAGAAAATATGGCATGTAAATACAATGGAATACTGTTCAGCCATAAAAAAGAAGAAAATCTTGTCATTTGTGACCACATGAATGGAATTTGAGGGTGCTGTGCTGAGTGAATAAGTAAAAAACAAACAAACAAACAAATAACATTGCATGATCTCACCCATATGTGGAACTCTGAAAAAGCAAAACTCATGGTATTTCCAGGGGCTGTGTGGGTGGGGAAAATGGGGAGATGTTAGTCAAGGTTATAAACCTCCAGACATAAGGCAAATCAGTTCCGGAGATCTAATGTACCGCATGGTGACTACAGCTAATAACACATTTAAGAAAAATAACACATTTTAAGAAAAATTTCAAGAAAGTACATCTTAAATGTTCTCATCGCTCACACACACATAAATGGTAGTTGTGTGAGGTGATGGATGTGTTCATTTTACTATGGTAATCATCTTGCAACATACGAAGTGAAAGCGAAAGTGTTAGTTGCTCAGTCCTGTCCGACTCTGTGGGACCCCATGGACTGTAGCCCCGCCAGGCTCCTCTGTCCATGGGATTCTCCAGGCAAGAATACTGCAGTGGGCAGCCATTCTCTTCTCCAGGAGATCTCCCCGACCCAGAGATCAAACCCAGGTCTCCCGCATGTCAGGCAGATTCTTTACCCTCTGAGCCACCAGGGAAGCTGCAACATGTATGTGTATCAAATCATGTTGTGTGCCTTAAACTTACACAGTCTTATATGTCAATTACACCTCAATAAAGCTGGGGGGTGGATTACAAAATTTGAGTGTTTCCAAGGAAAGATTATTACAGCACCCATCAGGTGGTTAGAAACAATTATTAATAAAAATATTAATAAAAATAATTATTAAACAATTATTAATGAGACTTATAAACAAGTTGGAAAACAGCCAGAGAAGTCTAAGATTGTTCTCAAAGCATGCCTACAGAACTAATGAAAATTCCTCTAATGGTTCCTTGGGTGACCTCTTGTAGTTCAGATGTCTGTAATAAAACAGTGGATACTTGTTTATTGTTGACATAGACTGAAAACTTACTTGTTATATTTAGTAAAATAAAACCTAGGCATAACCTCAAAAGAAAAAAAGAAAAAGAAATCCACTAACATTGTATAAACTGATGTTTATAGAATATGATCTGCTGGTAGTGGTTGTTCAGTTGCTAAGTTGTATCTGACTCTTTGCGACCCCATAGACTGTAGCATGCCAGGCTTCCCTGTCCTTCACCATCTCCCAGAGTTTGCTCAGACTCATGTCCATTGAGTCAGTGTTGCTATCTAGCCATCTCATCCTTGGCTTCCCTCTTCTCCTTTTGCCTTCAATCTTTCTCAGCATCAGGGTCTTTTCCAATGAGTTGGCTCTTTGCATCATTGGCCAAAGTAGTGGAGCTTCCGCTTCAGCATCAAATTTGGAAAGCTCAGCAGTGGCCACAGGACTGAAAAAAGGTCAGTTTTCATTCCAATCCCAAAGCAGGGCAATGCCAAAGAATGTTCAAACTGTTTAGAAACCCCCTTTTTTTCATCAGTTTTCCATAGGAAATGCTAACCAATATAATTTCAAAGGTCAAACCAGTTCTAAACCACCTCTGGCTCCAAGTTTGACTCAGAAACAACATCGTAAGCACCTCAAGCTGGTGTGCAGTCCACCTGAGCCTTCCAGCGCCTTCCGGTTTCAGCACACCTCCCCTCCCAGTGAACCCACCACCAGCCCACATTCCTCCCAAACTGTCAACCTCAAAACCTTTTTTATCAACTAGCAGACACCACTCCAAGTCAGCCTACAAGTCTGTGAGACATTCGGCCCTTCCATGTGCAGGCAGGCAGGCCCACTACCCACAAATGTGACCCAGAGCGCTCCCCAGGGCTCAGGACGCCCAGCTTGCTGCAGCCAAGTGAACTCCTCCTGGTTTCATGTGGAAAATATCATTCAATCTCACCACAAATCTGTCAAGGCTCTTCCTGATGCTTTTGAACCAGCTTCCTTTCCCGGTGGTTTTAAGGGCAGTGGGGGAGTGGGTGTGACATGCTCTGCTCTAAACAGCTACTGCCGGTTAATTCTAGAGGACACAGTTTTGACAACCATGTCGACAAATGTAAAAGAAACCAGTATCACAAACTAACATGTCCAAATTGAGCCCACTGCCCGATGTGGGTAGCCACAGTCCATGGGGTCACAAATAGTCAGACATGACTTAGTGACTAAACAATAACAACATATAAAACAGGAAATTAGAAGTCACTCAGTCTAAAGTAGAGGAGCCATCTCAGAGTCCAAACTCTGTGCCTCCGTCCCCCTGAGTTCCTTGGGGAGCAGCAGAGACACTGCTGCTTCACATGTCAGACCACGTAACAGGAACAGAGTGGGGCTTTCTCTCTTGCCCCTGAATTAGTAACAAAGGTCCCAAAGTAGGAGAAGCCAGTCTAGGAATGTACATCCTACAAGGGCCTCGAACAAGCAGCATAGAACTCACCTGTCCAGGCCCTGCTAGATACCACCAGCCACCGCCCTATCCCTCTTCCCAAACTACTTTAAAACTGGGGCAAGGACCAGTCTCAGGTGTATACATGTCAAAAGTGACCAAATTGTACATCCTAAATATGTGCTGTTTAACCTATGCCATTTCCACCTTCCTAAAACTTTAGAAGAAAAATAAAGGGGCTTCCCTGGTGGTCCAGTGGTTAAGAATCTGCCTGCCATTGCAGAGGACAAGGGTTCGACCTCTGGTCTGGGAAGACCCCACATGCCACAGGCAACTAGGCCCATGCACTGCAACTCCTGAAGCCTGCACACCTAGAGCCCATGCTCCGCAGAAAGAGAAGCCGCTGCAACGAGAAGCCCGAGCACCTTGACAAGAGGAGCCCCTGCTCTCCGCGACTAGGGAGAGCCCATGCACAGCAACGAAGACCCAGTGCCGCCAAAAGTGAATAAATATTTTTTAAAAAAGAAAAAGAAAGAAGGTGAGTCATGAGCATGTGATGTTTGCAGACAAGAAAGACCCACTCTCGTCACTGCAAAGCCAGTAAGGACGCTCCTCTGGGAGCAGAGGCGTGCCTTGGAGGGGCCTGGGAAGACCACTGTACAGCTGCTGAGCTAAGAATCACAGCTCAGCGGAAGAAGCTGAGGAAGTCCCCTGGAGAGCGTCACACGTCCACCCTGAGTCTGGGAACAAGTATGACCCTGGTGTGGGTCCCCGCCTTTTCACACGGGCTGGCGGGAGCAGCCGCGCCAGCAAGGCCAGGAGCAGCCTCATCCCCACCGTCACACCCTCCGGGGGCTCATTCTGGACTTCAGGTGAAGGAATGTGGATGGGGTGGGAGGTCGTGAGCTGCCAAGGGAAGGGAAGGGACCTGGGGGGTATTCCTGTCAGGAATTCTCGGCTGGCTCTCTCTGAAGGATCCCTGGTAACAGATGGAAAGGAAACCAGCCTCAAAGGCCGTCATCTGTGGCACACAGAACCAGGCGGGGCAGAATGAGAAGAGGGCACATCCCCACCACTGATAAGCAGCCAGTCACACAAGACAGGACCCACCCGGACCCCCAGCACCAAAGGGACCAGGACCAGAAGAGGAGAAGTAAGCAGGTATCCCTGAAGCTACCCTACACTCCTCCCCACTCCCAGTCCCCACCCCCAGACAATGGAAGGCTGCCCAACTCCGTAAAGGGAGAGGAAAGAAGACCTGAGTTGAGACTAGAACATTAAACTAGCCTAGCTTGTACTGGTCTGTTTTATTCCCTTTTAAAAAATTATTTCAAAAATACACAAGTAGAGAAAATAATGTAAAAAACTCCTGGATCTATCACCCTTCAGCAAACATTCATTATCAACTAATGGCCCATTTCATTTCATATATGCCTCCAACTTCCCGACCCTCCCCAGATTATTTTGAAGGAAATTCTAGACATCATGTTATTTTAATTATAAATATCTCATTATGTATCTCTAAAAGATAAAGACTCACGTTTTCAGAAACATAGCCATAATAATGTTATCACAACCTTAAAAAATATGTAACAATAATTCCTTGTTGCTGTTCAGTCGCTCAGTCCTGTCCGACCGTGACCCCATGGACTGCAGCACACCAGGCTTCCCTGTCCATCACCAACTCCCAGAGATTGCTCAGACTCATGTCCACCGAGTCGGTGATGCCATCCAACCCTCTCACCCTCTGTCGTCCCCTTCTCCTCTTGCTCTCAATCTTTCCCAGCACCAGGGTCTTTCCCAATGAGTCTGCTCTTCGCATCAGGTGGAATTCCTTACTATCACCAAATTCCAGTTCATAAGCACATTTCTCCAGTTGTTTTATAATATGATGAAACTGAAATTTTTCATAACCGAGAGTGGTCTGAAAGTATGGAATCGGCCCATGATGTTGCCCACGGCAAGAGTGAGAGCACAGCTGAAGTAATTTGCTAGAAAGAATGAAACCCCTGCAGGTTCACATTCCATTTCATTCCTGACTCTTCAAGAAACCAGATGCTATAAAATTCCCCCCAGGACCGCCCCTGTCTGCCTGTGACTGCCCTCCAGTGCTCACCTTATTTACCCTCTGGTTTGGCTCCCATCACCTTGTGTAACACCTTGGCCACACCTTGTTATAACCCTTGTCTCCCCCATCAGACAAAGGACTCCTTGTAGGCAGGAGCTGCTATCTCATCCTTTCGTTGTAACCTCTGGACCCAGCCAGGGTCTGTGAGGCCAGACGGCTAAGGATGGCCCTGCCTGGGTGGCTTTGACCACGACCCATCACCCAGAACCCCCCGCCGCGGATTCCTGCTCTCTCAACTGGCCTCATGGATGAAACACCACACTGGCTTCTGCCTCCATCTGGCACTTATAAATTCATCACACTGGACTGGACTGGACCTCCTGGCTGCCTGAGTTCATTCCCAAGTCATCGTCAACATCTCTTTCATCATTTCCACATCATCTGTCCCCTCCTCTTTCTCCAGCCCTGCCCCCTACCCCTTCGGTCCCCAGGGAAAGGCCATGCTCCCACCCAGGCCTGCCTGTGCTCAGTGCCCAGCTTACCTGAGGCATCCAGATGCTCTTCTGTGTCCGGAAGAAGTGATACATGGCCGAGAAGTGCTCATAGCCTCCTCTCAGGATAAGGATGGGGTGGCGGGTAAGGTGGGTGAGGGTTCTGCCACACTCCACAGCCGCTCCAAGCACTATTCCTAAGAGCAGAGACCAAAGAGACGACTGTCTCCTGTGTGCTAACTGTTTGACTGGAGGCCCAGTGGACAGGCACTCCACTCTGAAAAGCAATTATCGAGGAAACTGAAGCGAATATAAACAGAGATGAAAGCTACAACTAAAATTTAAAAAGCAATTCACCACCAAGTAAGCTGATCTTTGTCTGTAAATGCCAAGATTCCATTTTCGTTTCCATATTGTTGCAAGGAAGGACGATCCAACATAAGTGAAATGCATATGTGTATATGAAAGTGAAAGTTGCTTGGTTGTGTCCAACTCTTTGTGACCGCCTGGACTATACAGTTCATGGAATGCTCCAGGCCAAAATACTGGAGTGGATAGCCTTTCCCTTCTCCAGGGGATCTTCCCAAGCCAGGGATCGAACCCAGGTCTCCCACATTGCAGGTGGTTCTTTACCAGCTGAGCCACGTTATGTGTATATACAATATCGTAAATGATATACCACACAATTCACCTATTTAAAGTATAGAAATTAATGTTTTTAATGTATTTGCGGTTGTGTAACCATCACTGCAGTCAATTTCAGAACATTTTAATCACCTCCAAAAGAAACCATGTACCATTTAGAGGGTTTCATTCCTCACTTCCCTGAAAACATTCAGTTCTAGGCAACCACTAACCTAATTTCTTATGGATTGACCTATTTTGGACATTTTATAGAAATGGAATTTTATAAATGTGAAATGTGGTGTTTTGTGTCTGGTTTCTTTCACTGGGCATGATGTTGTCAAAGTTCATCTATGTTGCACCAAGTGTCAGCACTCCGTCCTTTTTCATAGCTGAATAGTATTCCTCTGCGTGGTTCTCCATCTTTGGTTTATCCACTGATCTGTGGATGAATATTTCAGGTGTTTCCATTTTGTGGCTATTATAAGACTGCCAGGAACACCCATGTACAAGGTTCTACGTGCACATGTTTAATTTCTCTCTGGCATATACTATGGACAAAGAATGTTGCGTGCCACATCAGTAAACAAAGAACACTGTGGCCATCAAGCCATTGGCCACTGCAGTTGTCCCTGACTGTGCAATCTTCCCTGAGTAAGCAAATTATAAGTGCACGGTTTGGGGGGTTTGTTGTTCTGTGATTGTGATTTCTTTCCGAGTGAGCATGGCAGCTCCACAGTGCCAAAGTGAGGTCAGGTAGAGTATAGAGGGGATTGTTTTTAGCGACCACCATTTCCTAGGACTTCAGGGTTCAGCCGACAATCCTAGGATTGCAGACCAGGGATGAGTGTAGAGAAGAGGGGACAATTTCCTAGCTAAGGACCTCCTGAGAAAACTAGTTTTATTACAGGTAGAAGCCTAACACCACCCAGTGGCCACTGGTATGAATGCCCAGCCCATGGAACGCATCCACCCATATCAGTCACTGGGCCAGCAAGCAGCAGCAATGTGTGGCCAGCTCAAAGCAGGGGCTGAATGGAGAATGCAGTGGAGCCTCAGTGAAGCAGACTGGGACTGGCCACGGCCCAGCTCGAGGACGCAGTGACTGCACTGTTCTCCAGCATTTAGGCCGTGGGAGGCCAGACAGAGCCCAGGCTTGAATCCTGGCCCCACCACTTACTAGGTGTGGTGGTTTAAAAACTCTTCCCACAAACACTTTCAAGTGCCTCCCTTTAATTTAATTCCCCTCTCCTTGAGGGTAGGCTGTTCTCAGTGACTCGCTTGTAATGAACTTGCTTCTAGTATTCCCGTCTCAAGACCAGGTCATAAATAGGTGTGTGGCTGTACCCTTCTCTCCCTCTGTCTTGGCCCACTCTCTCTGGGGAAAGCAGCTGCCCTGTCATGAGGCCATCTAAGCAGCCCTCTGCGCAAGTCCACGCAGTGAGGAACGCAGGACTCCTGGCTATCCCCACGGGAGTGACCATCTCAGAGGCACATCGCCCTGGCCCCATCTCACCTTCACAGGACAGCAGTCTGGCTGACATCATGTCTACAGCCTCAGGACAGGCGAGAACCTCCCAGCTAAGTGCTCCCAAATTCCACAGAAACAAACAGACAACTAATGATTATGGTATTAAACTACTGAGTTTGGGAGTAATTTGTTACACAGCAGTAGAAACCCACGGTCCCAAACATGGGGAACAAGTTATTTCACCTTCCTGGACTCCAATTTCTTCCTCTATAAAATGGAGACATTACTTACTAGGAGCCAACTCTCCACGGTCTTTCTTTTTTCTACACGTCCTTTGAACCAAGGCACTGACTTTTCAAGGATATCTGTAATAAACAGCCTTGGATGATAGAGACAGTTCCTCCCTCCAGAGTCAAGGGCAGGCAGGCTGTCTGCATGTTTGTCAGAAAAGATTTAGGCCCCCTAAGCTCAGAGTTCTCTAACAATACCACCCACTGCTTTCTGGCTACTTCTATTGCTCTGAGAAATAAAGTCTTTTATCTATGACCCAGGATCCTCAGGTCTTGCGCCAGCATCCATAAAACCACAGTAGGCTCGCTTGTCACCTTGCAAAGAAGGAAACATCCCAGACCCTTCCCAGGTTCTGACTCTGCCATTCCCATAGGGCTGTTCTACAGAGATGGCCCAGGCAGAGCTCCCGGCATGTGGCAAAAGCGCTCAGTAACTTAACTCTTATTCTTGCTGCTCTGGTAAAGACTTACTGTGCTTGCCATCGTCAGCGCTGTCATCGTCACTGCTTTTGTCTTTCAGCATTAGCTCCAGGGAGATGGTGCTGTTATCGTATACCACACAGTATTCCACACACTCCAGATCCACAGACTCCGGGATTAGATATTTGCCTGCGCTCTAAAGAAACCACCGGAGAAGCCTGTTGGCGGGTGGGTTAGGCTGAGCCCACACGCCTTGCACTCCACCACCGGGAGGAGCCAAGGTGGGACAGCGCCCCCTTCCTTGACCACACACAGGGCCGGAAGCCCTGAGAGTGGACCAGAGAGGCTGCCATATTCCAAGAGTCTTCCACACCCACGGTCCCTCCTGGAGAAGCTGTCCATGGCTGATTGGACCAGAGATGATAGACTGCCCAAAGAACCGTGGTCTAGTGACCAGCCCACAGCTGATTAGGAGCCCTGGCACAAGTGCTGAGAGAGTAGCCGTGGCCACCTGAACTACTGACATCCTCTGCAGAAAGGTGTGGGTGATGGAGACCAAAGCCAAAATCTGCCATGAAGAGGGCAGTAAGCAGACAGGCTTGAATGGACAAAAGTCACAACCCTGGGGTCCATAACATTGTCTGGCACATCAAAGAATTAAATCAACATTTGCTTAATGAAGCTGTTGACCATGGAGGACAGGGAGAAACCTCAGGGAGTGTGTGACACTGTCAGAGACTCTCGTGGTGGACGCACGGGGTCCTGCCTCCTTCGCCCACAGTGTTCCAGTAGGAGGTGCCGCCTCCTGGACCTCGGATAAAATCTCCCATTCTTCCGGCCCTCCAGTAAGGTAGCCTGTCTGCCCCACATTCAGATTCTGTCGGTATACCTTCTTCACGAGGAGGGCTGTAATCACGTGGCTTTCATCATACTCCCGCCTGGACCGCACATCTGAAAAGGAAAAGTATCGAATGAGTAACTGCTTTTGCAAAGGAACACGTGACCAACAAGAGCATTAAAATATGTTAAAGTAAAACGATGAGCCAGAAACAGAGAAAATAGCTCTAATACAAATAACTAACAAAATCTTGTATCCAGAATTTATAAAGAACTTACAAATCAATGAGGGAAAAAAAAATACAGACATCTGAAGACATCTTTACCTTCAGAAACAGCTCAAGAGTACATCCAAACGGACTCCTGCCTTTGTGAAGTGTCTGCCTGAGGACACTCAAGGCCGCCAAAGAACTTACTGCTTGCTCCAGCTGACACCTGAAGACAGGGCCCCTGTCCCCCACCACTGAGGAGGGTAAGAGCCTAATTTCGATAAGCACCAGTTAGCAAGCCCCCTTGGGTTTCACATGGTCCAACTCCCACCCAGTTTGTAGTTTTTCACTTCCCTGACTCTGAGCCCCATGTTCCTCCTCTCTACTCCTTCACTCTCCATCTCAAAGGCCTCTGTGCAAACCGGACTCCTGTTCACTCTGGGCTCTTCCCTATTGCAATAGTGCACTACTGATTAAATTCTGCTTCCCCTTTGTTTATCTTTAACATGATCTAATAACAAAAATGAACCAACTACACTCTAGCTCCAGGCAACAACATAAGTGAATCTTCATCGCATAGTCTTGAGCAAAGGTCAGAGACATGGTCTATTTGGCTTAAAAACAAGTGAAACTGGGACTTCCCTGGTGGTCCAGTGGTTAAGAAGACCTCTCCCAAAGCAGGGGGTGCAGGTTCAATCCCTAAGATTTCACATGCCGTGGGACAACTAAGGCCACACACTACAAAGGGAGAGTCTGCGCACTGCAGTGGAAGATCCCACCTGCCACAGCCATAAAGTACTTACCCAATAAACAGAGGTAGTTGGGTTCAGTTAATCTGGGTAGTTTTGTGACCTGATTCAAGATGTTGTAAAGCTCTGTTGGTTCACACAGAACCAAACCGGTCATCCTACAGGAAAGAATCAATAATGTATTAATAAAAGCTTAGTGAAGAAAAAAAAAAAGCTTAGTGAAATGAAAGTCGCTCAGTCGTGTCCGACTCTTTGCGACCCCATGGACTGTATAGTCCATGGAATTCTCCAGGCCAGAATACTGGAGTGGGCAGCCTTTCCCTTCTCCAGGGCATCTTCCCAACCCAGGTCTCCCGCATTGCGGGCAGATTCTTTACCAGCCGAGCCATAAGGATAGCCCAAGAAAACTGGTGTGGGTAGCTTATCTCTTCTCCAGCGGATCTTCCCAACTCAGGAATGGAACCATGGTCTCCCGCATTGTAGGCAAATTCTTTACCAACTGAGCTATCAGGGAAGCCCAAAAGCTTAGCACATCTTTCTATTTTAGATGAATGACTACCAAGTCACAAAATTAAACTTTCTTAACATGTGTTCAAGGTGAAAATAATCATCAAAGTGATCAAGGAAACTTCAAAAACTTATAGTGAAATGTGTGTAGGGGAGATAAACATTGCATACAATGTATAGTGAAATGTGTGTAGGGGAGATAAACATTGCATACAATGTATCTGAATAAAACAGGTTGTAAAACAGTCACCAATTCATTTCTTCTTTCAGTAAATCATCACTGAAGACCTACTACATGCCAGGCGCTGGAAATAACTGGTCAACTAGACCTACCCTTACGAGGATTACAGTCCAGCATGGAAAGCAGACATTGGACAAACAAATACTTCGTTAAGTAGGGAAAGCCTTATAAAAGGGTCAGCATCCAGTGCCACGGGAGGTGGCCACAGGAGGGCACCTAGTCGGTGGGCTGGCGGGGGTGGTCAGAGAAGGGCTATCTGAGATGTGACAGCTGAGACAGGAGGTTAGGCAAGACTTAGGCAGGTGGAGGAGACAGAGAGGATGAAGGAGGTGGGAACACTCCTGAGAGCAGGAGGGAACTTAGCACCTGAGGTTTCAAAAGGAGCCTGGGGACAGTGGGAAGAGAGTGATGATGAAGACCCTGGGGAGGCTGATGCAGGTCCCTCATGAGAGGCCTTGTGGGCTTGTTGTAAAGATCGTGTTGCTTCGTGGAAGGTGGGGCATCGCTCACTTGTACTGACAGAACTGCCCGGCCAGTCGGGGCTGTGGCTCCTGCTTACAGGGCCGCTCTTGGTTCCTGGGCACAACTGTCTCTGCGGCCCCCTGGACACTGAGCGGGGAAGGCTGGGCCTGTGCAGCAGCTTCCTGCAAGGAGGTTACCTTTTAGCAGGGGAGGGAGCAACCAGGAGCAGCCAGCAGACCTCTGCAGGCCAGTCAAGTCCAGGGACAATCTTGCTCAAGTGGACAGTTAGGGTCCACTTCAGAACTACCAGTACAATGCTCCCCAGAAAGGCTAAACCTTCGACTTGGGCCCTGGAACCTTCTCACCTCCTCCAGCACCTCAGTTCTCAGCCTCCTCTCCAACATCGTCAATTTCGGTCTCCATGTCGGTCATTCCCAGTGGCACGCCAGCATCCTCTGTGCCTGTCTCTGTTCCCTTTGACAGCCAAGACTTCTCAAAAGGGATGTGTCTACATGGCCTCCACTTCCTCACCTCTGAACTCTAGTCTGAACCCCTGTTGTGCCACTTATTCTTGGCTGCCTGACCTCAGGGAATAATTAGCCTTTCTGTGCCTCAGTTTCTGCCTCTGTAAAATGGGATAAAAATAGTATTGCCATTTCTGTAGAACAAGAATAATAGTACTTGTTGTGTGTGGATCAATGAAATTACACACAGAAGACATTCTGAGCAGGGAGGAAGTGCTCAGTAATTGTTAGTTATTGGTATGAACTTCTCCCCTGGAACTTCTAACCCCAAACCACAGAACCTGCTCTTATCAAGGTCATCACAAATACTCCTCGTGCCTAATCCATTTAGTCATTCCTCTGTAACCCACTTGAACGCCTCCTTCCCCAAACACTCCCCGCTCCCAGGAACCCCCACTCTCTAGGCTTCCCGCTTCCCTCTCAGATGGCTCCTATTCCAACTCTCCCCATGAGCACACCCTCGGACACAGTCATCTCCCCTCTTCTCTACCTACACTCTCACTCTGGGACAGAGCTTCTCAGCCTTGGCACCACTGAAAGGCGCAGCCAGGTAATTCTTGGTTGTGGGGCTGACCTGTGCACCATAGGATGTTTAGCAGGATCCCCAGCCTCTACCAGGAGATGCCAGTACCAACTCCCACCCTCCAGTTACAAGACATCACCAAATGTCCCCTGCAAGAAGGGCAAAGTCACCGTTAGTCGACAACCACCACTCCCCCAGAGTCTAGGGGATTCATCTAGTCCCTTGAATACCTCCCTGTATACCAATGACTCCCAAATCATAGCCTCTGCTTGACCTCTCCACTGACCTCCATACTCCATGTGGATGCCTGACAGGTAGCTCAAGTATAATGTGGCCAGAAAAGAAGGTTTAAATTACACATGCCCTCATCTTCAATATCTTCTTGTCTTTTGTCTTCCCTGTCTCAATAAACAGCACCATTATTCACCAAGTTACTCGAGGTCACATATCTAATCCTTTATTTCCCTTCCATTAGCTCCCACCTATTAGCTCTACTACCTAAATATATTGGGTTTTCTTGGTGGCTTGGTGGTAAAGAATCTGCCTGCCAAGGTAGGAGACGCAGGTTCGAGCCCTGGGTCAGGAAGATCCCCTGGTGAAGGAAATGGCAAACCACTCCAGTATTCTTGCCCGGAAAACCCACGGACAGAGGAACCTGGTGGGTTACAGTGCTTGGGGTCCCAAAAGAGTCGAACATGACTTAGTTACTAAGCAACAACACCTAAATAGATATATTCCAAGCCCATCTCCAGGGCTAACATTCTAGACCAAAGTACTAGCATCTCTCTCCCAAGGACGCAATACTTCCCAACTGGGCTTCTTGCTCCTGCTTTCTCCCTATAGTCTAAACTTCACATGGCAGTCAGGGTGATCTTTGTGAAGCATGAGTTCATTGTCTTCATCTGCACTACTGTACCCACTTGTTTGCTTATTTTTATCATCAGTCTCCTCATAGTGGGATGTATGGCTCATAAGAGTGGGGACCTTGCCCTTCCTGTTCACTGCAGTATCCCCACAGTAGCCAGGACTTGTGATGCAGACCAATGCTCAATAAGCGTGTGTTTAACGAATACATTATTACTAGCCACCATTCCTGCCTTCACCATGGGCCCATCCTGACCTAATGCCATATATCTAGATGCCACACACACAGCCCTCCTATAGGACCTCCCAACTCACACCCCCAGGTCCTCTGCCTCTGAAAGTCCTGACCTCAGGCCATTTTGGAGGTGGTGAGCATCAGGGAAAGGGGATGGACTCTGTGTCCAGTCCCCAAACTTCATGAAGCCAACCAAAAAGCTGGCTAACATACCTGGTTGATCACTCAGAGTCCATCCTCATCCTTCCACCTGCTTCTCCCCATGACAACCTCCATCTCTTCATTCACTAGCTAAGAGACTGTCTCTGGGCTTTCAGGTAAAACCTAGTCCAGCCCCAGGAAACAACTCCTTCTGACATCTCTCCTTCCCAAAGGGTGCACTCTCCCTTGTCAGGCAAGATCTGCCTCACTTGCTGGCAAACTTCAGGAGGGTATGCACTGTCTTGGCCCTAACAGCACCCTTCTGAGAGAAGACACAGCCCTGTGAGCCACAGTGAGGAGCGCCACTGGACTGGGCGGGCAGAGGGCTGGGCACAGCCAAATGCCCTTCCAGCACAACTTCAAACTTGTTTTTGTTTCTTTTTTTGGCTACACTGAGCATCATGAAGCATCATAGTTCCCTTACTCGGGATCAAACCTGTGCCCCTGGCAGTGGAGACATGGAGTCCTAATCACAGGACCACCAGGGAATTCCTGCTCCAAACTCTGAAGGGTATAAGAGGTTCTTGGCTCCACCGTTTAGGTCCTAAGAATATTTTGATATCGAGCTTTTATATAAAACCATAAAACAAATACTGATGAGGTGCTCAGCCAGGCTTGTGCCCCACCTTCTCCTGACATGGGATCCTGGATATGATCAAGCTCTGAACCCAGCTTTGTTTTCACTCCCTGACCTCTGGCTGGCCTGGAGGACTGAAGGCTTCGCCCCCAGCTCAGAACTGCCACCACTGGCATCTCTGCTCGTGGGGGCTGCTGGCCAGCAGCTTCAGGTTGCCTCTGGTGTCACCGGTCCACCACCTCCTAGCTGCTCCGCTGGCATGCAACTTGGGAAGCCAAATCCTTTGATGTCCAGCAGGTACGGGCCACAACTGAAAATTAAGCTATATAAACATAGTTCTATTTTAAAATTTATGTCCCCTTTTTCCAATGTTCTAGAGCCCCTAGAGGAAAATAAAACTGTCATACAGGTTGGACAGTTAACATCTTTCTAATTCTTCATTTTAGCTCCAAGGATCTGAAAGATTTAAAATACTTCACTTGAGTAAAATACTTCACTTGTGGTATAATTTTAGGGTTGAAGAGAAGATAAGCTAGCACAGAATATGTGCACCTAAGAGCAAAAATTTGACAGCTCATGGCTGTGGTCCGAAGCCTATTGTAAGGAACAAAATGGTCAGTATATGTGCATGTGTATGGCTTGTGTGGGGGTGCAGCAAGGAAGGTATCAGTGTATTTCCTATACTGTGTATAAAGATATACAATGAAGAACTAGCAAAATTAATCTATAGTGATAGAAATCAGGAAAGTCAGGTATTTATATTTTCTGGGGGACTGGGACATAAGAAAACTTTCTGGAATAAAGAAAATGTTCCTATAGCTTGTTTTGGGTAGTGGTTACAAGACTACAAACTGTCAAAACTATCAAACTACACACTTAAGATCTGTATACTGTATCATATGTAAACTACATGGCAATTTTTGTAATCCCCTGAAATATGAGGACACTTCTCTACATCGGGTGGGGATGGCCCAATAGAGAATATGGGAGGTGGGGGTTGCCTGCCCTAGAGATGCCGACAGGGGCTGACTGACCTGGCAGGGATGGGGAGAAGCCCCAGCCCCAGATGTGGCAGTGAACATGAGAATCTGACTCAAGTCCCTCTTCTATGGCCTCGACTCTCCCCTCTACAGGGACGACTTCAGCCCTGGCCTCTCTCAGGGGTTTCAATCCCATACTTCCTCTGGGAGTAATCCCCCAAGTGTCCACTTCCAATTCAGCCCATCTAAAATAGAGCTCTTCTCTTTTTCTCCACACAGCTCTCCTTCCACACAACTTTTCTCAGGCTGAGTTTCCACAGCACTTTTATTTAAATCCAGATGGGCACAAACAATTCTTATCAATTCTTCCCTCTCCTTCATTGGCCCCACTTCCCCATTTCTAAAAGTACCATCATAACTCAGATTATTTATCATCTCCTAAGACTCTTGCAGCACAGAAGCTGCAAGAAGAACAAGGTTAGTCTCTCAAAATACTATGGAAGATAAGCCTCCTGAACAACCTCCCTGCCCTGCACATTTTTCCCTTGGAATCTTTGACATAACAAGGTCAGTATAATCTTCCTCAAACGCAGTTCTGGTGGCATCACAAAAGCCTCTGATAAACACTTGCTTCCCAAGGAATAACTCAGCTAACATGCATAAGCCCTGCACAATCTGGGTTTTCCAGTCTTGTATCTAAAACCACTTGACTCTCCCCAAATTCAGAAACCCACTCTCAACCTGGTCAGGTGCTGGACAATAAAGAGATTAAATTACCTGACTGCACAATGCCCTTAGTTCTGGTGGTAAGATAAAGGGGTGAACAATGAACAAGAGAACACTGTCAGTGATACAATAAAGGACACTGTTCTCATGTCCCCACTCCCAGCAGAAATTATCTGTTCACTGTCCCCTCCTCCAGGTTTTCCTTTGGGCTCTTTTCCCTTTCTTGCTCATCTGAACACTTTCTATTGTTAACTGCCCAACTCCCAATGCCCCTCCTTTGGGAACCCCAAAGCCCATGTGTATCTCTCCCTCCTGTGGAGCTGAATGGTTTAACTCTTGTTCTTCTTTTACATCTCAGCTTAGATGTTTCACCCTCCAAAGTCCTCTCTCACATGGCCCCCACCTCCACCCCAAATCTGAGTTAGATAGACCTCCTTTGTGAAGGAAAGCAACACGGCTCAAAATAGCCTGGAGTTAAAACTCCCCTCCAATGGTGGGGTCTTCCCCACCATTCTATGCAGGACAAAGAACTCCCCGCCCCTGCCTCGGCCCGGAAGGAAGGAATGGACATTAAGATTGATTACTTCCAGCTCCAGGCCGGTCCCAGCTCCACTGGTCTCAGGAATTCCTTGCCCCAGTTGTTAAAAGTTAACTAATCCAAACAATCTTGAAGAAGAACAGACCCCTCAAGACAATGTATTTCCGCATCTATGTTGCCTATATATACCTCCTCTTTTCTCCACTTGGTGCAGCAGCTCACTCATCTGACTGCTGCCCCTTCTCGCCTCATTAAAGGTCATCTGTTCCTGTAGAGTATCGGTCTCATTCTTTCTCCAAACCTCGCTTTCTCTGACTCCCTTAACCTACACTTTGTGTTCCCACAGCCCCTCATAATTCTCTAGTGTTGCCCATATCATGCTGCTTGCAATGTACCTGCCTCCCTCACTAGACTGTGAGCTCCTTAAAGGCAGAAAATGTGTGGATCCTTGCTCACCTGTGAAGCAAGTGATCTTAGTAGCTCAATGAACGAATGGAAAGGAGGCAGGAAAGAGTAAGCCCGTCATCTCGCATGCCCTCCTACTTACATGTTCGTCAGTACTTGGGCTAACTGCTCTTTTTCACCTCCTGCTTCTCGGTTCCCAAGTAGGCTGTCATTGGTTCCCCCTCACTGGGTTTGCAGACTTCTCCAAGGTAACAGCCTGCAACACACCTACCTGCCCCACTTGACCCTGAACTTTTTGAGGGCAAGGAGGTCTCTGCACCCCCAGAAAAGAGCAGCAGGGAAAAGGAAGCTTCTAAGTATGCTGATACATTTGAATGGTAACTTCTAGTGAGCAAAAACCATGTCTTGACTTTCTCTGTGGTGGACTCTGAACAAATCCACTTTAACTGTGCTCAACATGGTTTCTTGGCACCTAAGGCGGAAACAATGTGGCCAGGTGGACAGCGCGGCTGAGCCGACCAGAGGTGAAGGGACAGCGTGACTTTGCAAGTTCTATCACCCGGATACCTGTTACCGCATCTATAACCTATAGCGATGAGTCAGTGCTCAGGGTCTGTCATTCTCGGGAGTGGTGTCCCTAAAGCTTTGTAAACTTAACAGAAGGTCCTGGGCATCGGGAGAGACGACAAGTGGGCGGACTGTGTGTGATCAGGGGTGGTGCACAGGAATGACAGATTAGAGGAGCCCCCATCCTCCACCTCAATCCCGGGGCTCTCAACCTCCCCTCCCCCATTTCCTTTCCAGAGCTCGGAGCCCCTCCAGTCCCCAGGGACAAGATGGGTGGGTCTGGCTGAGCTGGCGCAGGGGAAGGGACCGCACGCATTCCATCGGGCCTCCGACCTGACCTCGGCCGGTCGCCCTGTCAGAGCCTCTGTCTGGGGCCCCACCTGCAAAATGGCTCCTCTAAGGCTCTCCAAGCCTACAGCCCGTCTTCTTCCACCTCTCGAGTGCGGACTCTCCCTCCCACTCTGACCGCGTCTGACGGGCCGCACGCAACACGACCCGCGCTATGACCCAGCCCAGGACTGCGCTCCGAGTAGCACCCTTCAGCGGGCCTCCCCGAAAGCCCGGATGTGGCCGAGATACCGCGAGAACTGGGAAGTGGGGGCGCCGGAAGCAGCGCCGCTCTCGCGAGACAAGGCGGAGCAGAGCCGGGAGGCCTTGTGCAGTGTGGAGGTCGTTGGAGTCACTTGTCTGCTGACAGCTCCTTCGCCCGCCTGTTCGCGCCCCGCCCGCCCCAGCCATGCTTTCCGCCCTCGCCCGGCCTGCCGGCGCCGCTCTCCGCCGCAGCTTCAGCACCTCGGCCCAGGTAGGCCCTGCGAGGGGCAGCCTGCAGGTGGAGGCTCCCCGGCCTAGGCCACGTGTGTTCCTGGCTCGCGAGCAGCCTTGACCCTCGGGTCAGTCAGCTTGGACCGCAGAGCCGCCCGGTGCAGACCCGCAGTTGTGTCGGTTGGGTCGACCCTGATTCCGGGCGGGAGGTGCGGGGGAGAAAGTCCCGGAGTCAGGGAGGTGGGAAGTAGTCCAGCTCCAGTACCGGGGCGCTTCTCCGAGCCTGGCAGTTCACCCCCAGAGTCTGCTCTTGACTTGTGCTCCTTAAAGCTTGAGAGGCCAGGGCTGTAGGGGCTAAAGTAACTTACCTTCCGTAGTGCTTTGAGAGACCAACCTTGTTCTTGGAGCTTCCGTACAAGCACTTGTGTAATTTTTAACTTCATAGTGCAGACAGAGCTACCCAGGGTAGAACACTGGTCCAAGGTTACACAGTCTTTTGGCCAGAGGATTAAAATTCCCCTCTCCTGACCACTGTAATTTTTTTTTTTTTTTTGGATCACCAAACCTTCCCTCTAAGAACCTGAAGACTCTGCTTCCTCTTAAAGACCTTTTGAAGGCTGCTTCCTGCGGTGGGAGGCCTGGGCCTGGCTTGGCCTGGGACTGCTTAAGCCTAAGCTATTTTTAGCCGTCTCGGGCAGCGATTCTCAAACTCTGGTGTGTGTCAGAATCACCAGAATACTGATAAAGATCAGAGACAGGGCGTCAGTGAAGGAGGTAGGACCTGCTGGGCCTCTGTTTTTACCAAGTGCCCCAGGTGATTCTAATACAACCCAAGTATGAGAACCCTGGAATGCCCACATCTCAAGTACCTTGCCCTCAAAGGGAGGTGATTGTTAAACATGAGGTTCTGCATTTTTTAGCCTCTGCCCTTCAGACCAGTCTCCTGTGTGTTCAGTTCATTTGGAAAATAAATATACATATAAGTACCTTTGAGTATCTTCTTGCCGAAAGCTGTGTTGGGTGCTGCAGGTGATACCAGGATGAGTGAGAAGCGGCACTTATGCCAAAAGTGAGTAAACTTAGCACCCATAGGACTGGTGGAGGTGTTGAACAGTGACACTGAGGAGTAGGGGAAGGGAACTAACTGGAGATAAGACAGGGGGATTTGCTGCTATGATTTCATGAGGGGTATTGAGAGAAAGAGGAACATGGAGAAAACCAAGGCTTTGGATTTTGGAGTTGAGTTACTAAGGTAGGAAAAAATGCTCGGAAAGAGTGATGGGAGTTGGGTGTGGTATTAATATTGGGAGCTCAGGTTTGGATAGATTGAGTTTTAAATGCCTATTAGACATACAGACAGAGTCATTTACAAGTCAGGTGTATAAGTCAGAAAGATGAGCTTGAGCCAGATGGTGCATCGGCCTAGAGACTTTAGATCCCGTGTCCTTAACAGGAAAAATGTAATGAGCATTCAATCTCCATGTATTTATGTCTCTGTGTGTACTAATGTTCTAATATATATATATAAAACACAAGAAAGAAATTTAAAAACAAGCTGTTCAAGTCTGTTATACAGACTTTAAAAAGCAAACTTGTGAAGGAAGTGTTACTATATATCCATTTTCAAAGCCCATTGCTAAACGGTGTGCCAAACAGTGGAAAAGGATGTCAAATCTGGCAACAGCTTGTTTAGCAAGAGATCATGAGCTGTCCTGCAATACCAGAGATTCTCATCTCACTGTAAAGATCCCATCATTTACAAGTTATGTTTTTATAAATATTAGCCGAGCTGATGAAACCTTATACAAAAAGTAACATGGCCTCATCCCACTGAAAGTTTGTTGTATTCATCTTGTTTGTCACAGGGGACTGATTGATCCAAGGACCCTAGTTGAGGACACCAGGTCTGTCTGTTTCTTGGTAGATATTAATTCTTTACCTGTTAGATAAAAATTAAGACATAATCTTTGACATTTACATCCTGCACACCAAGGGGACTGTATTGTGCTCCTCATGTTGAAACCCTGGTCAGTCATGGGAGCCACGCTAAGAAATCTGGGCATGAGGAACTTGAGAGGATTTTTGAGCAAGGCAATGATGGAAACTTTGAATTTAGGGGAGGATGGTTGAGAGGTAGAGCTGAGGACCTAAGTTAGACAATGGAATCAGAATGGAAATCAGGGGCAGGTTAGGAAGATGTTTGAGATGCCAGCTCCTTTGTGTCTTAACTGGGTGTCTCCAATAAGGAAAGAGGCAAGAGATAGGAATAAAGGTTTGAATGTGGGTGAACACAGGTGCCATTTGGGGACAGGGATGGGAGAGGTAACGAGGATAAATTTATTTACACAGTTGGGTTAGTGAGACCAGTGGAATGCCTAACAGAACTGGAGATGTGGAGTTGGAATCTGGGAGTCCCTGGGATTCGGGACAAGGTGTGAGGGTGATCATTGAAGGTTCAGAGGTGGGTGAGATTCCAGACTTCAAGTTCTGGGTGGTTGGTCCAGCTAGCTTTCTGTGAAGTCAGGGGTCCAACTTAAAAAAACAACAACAACCTGAATTCGAATCTTACTTGTAGTATATGCCCTTGCAAGTTTTAATTTCTTCAAGCAGATCACACTGTGCGTCAGGTGTTTTTTTTGAGTTTGTTTTGGTTTGTTTTGGTTTGCTGGGTTTGGTTTTGTTGACAGAAGCCCATTATTGCTGGCTTCCGTTGCTGTGGAACACAACATGCAGCCATGGTGTAGATGCTGCCCTCCAGGACTGCACCAGCCTTTGAGCTCCCACAGCTGCTCTTTTCTCAGATTGTCTTCTTTCTGGCCTGCTTGCCAGGATAGGCCCTCCTTCTCGTTTGTGAGTTTAGACTGGAAACAGCCTTCCTGAGGTTGGCTGGGGTTTGGGTTTGGCCCTGCGCGAGACCTGGAGGGAAGAGTGCCTCTTGTGTGAGGGGAGTGAGCTTTAGGGCAGGGCTTCGCTTCAGGACCGCTCTTTGCCCTCAGCTCCTGGGCATCTCACTGCCTGGCCGCTCGGGAGCTGACCGGGGTCTGATTCACTCCTACAGCCCCCAGGTCCAAGCGCTGGCCCATTAATAGGATTTCATAAATGTTTGTTTATAGGTTTTAAAACCTCACGTTGCAGGAGAAGCTTCTGTTAGCAGTCCAGCAGCCGAGTGAGTAGTTTGCTCGTCTCTCGAGGGTATGGGAGAAGTGTGCCCTGACCCTCACAGCATCTGGAGGCACAGGTCCCCCCATTTTCCTGAGGCATGCCCTGAACGTCCGGAAGGCCTTAGGGGTGGTAGGAATACTATCACCTCTTCGTTGGTACCACTGCAGTAAAAGAGGCCAGGGGCCAAGGTCTGTGGTTTTTACCATGTGAATCCTATTAATGCTGAATCCCTCTTCAAAGTTCTGTCTGTGTGCCTCTTTCTAGAACAATGCTAAAGTAGCCGTGCTGGGGGCTTCCGGAGGAATTGGGCAGCCGCTTTCGCTTCTTCTGAAGAATAGCCCGCTGGTGAGCCGCCTGACCCTCTATGATATCGCTCACACGCCCGGAGTGGCCGCCGACCTGAGCCACATCGAGACCAGAGCGACCGTGAAAGGTACTGGGCTCGCTGACTCCATGGACCGTTCATCTCTTCTCTCCAGTAGTCCAGGATCCAGGTTTAGAGTGAGATTCTTGGGTGGAACTAGGTGTTCAGAGACTTGAGGTTTCCGTGTCCATTTTAGAAGTAAATTTTATAAATTACTGCAGTTTTTTGGACTTGTCTCTAAAAATGCAAGTAGTGTCTTTCAGAAAAACAACAGTGGCCTGATGTTCCCATTTAAAATTTTTTATAATTTAAAATAATAGGAGTGTAGGGGTAGGGGGAGCCTCCTGCAGGGACGTGGGGCCGTAAGTGGTACTGTCCCTGGTGTGCTGCCCGTGCCTTCCGGGCCGGGCCGTCCCTCTGCCAGCCTCTTCAAAGCACAGCCACTCAGGGAAATCTGAAATGAACACAGGTATATTATCCAAGAAGTCGTTCGTAATCACATACAGTTATATATAGCCTGCTCATTTAACCTTCACATCATAGCAGCTTTTATCCGCGTCACCAAATTCTTGGTAAAATCATTTTTAAAGAGGTATTATAAGTTATAGCTTATTTATTGTTATACCCATGCTGTTGGCCCCTGGGCTGTTTTGTGTTGTGCTGTATTACAGATATTTCTGTAAGCTGTGATAAGCATCTTTTTATCTTTACATTTTGTTCCTTAGGATCCTAAAAGTAGAGTGAGTAGGTCCGGCTGTTGTACAGCTTTTACTGTGAAATGTCAGATTGCTGTGCAGGAAGCTTGTACTGCTTCCCGTCTCTGCTGATGGTGTTTGCACGTGTCCTCGGTGGGTGTAGACAACCCAGAAGGTTGACTTGTCAGGTCACGTGCTTGTGTGCTGCCAAGGTCCCTGTGCACT